TCTCTCACTGGTGCCAATCTCATCTCCTTCTCTGCCTTTCCTCTCCCCAGAGGTCGGAGTGGGGGAATGATCGTGGATCCTCTCCGGTCTGGCTGCCCGCAGCCCGGCATTGACCCATCGTCAGGCATTCCAGGCCAGCTTCCCCCGGGAGCGGTTCCACCAGGTGCCAGATTTGACCCCTTTGGCCCATTAGGAGCTGGTAGATCTGGGTAGGTATTGGTATCCCCAGCCTGCTCTCTGGGCTGCCCCTGGATCTCCCTGTTGCTGCGGGACTGAGCTCTCGCTCCTGGTTTGACTCTCCTCTGAATTTCTTTCCAGGCCAGATCCCGACCACCTTCCCCCTCCGGGCTATGACGACATGTTCATGTGAGGAGTCGCCGCATGGCTTCTCATGGCTGCGGCCAGAGCAGTCTCCTGGGAAGCAGAAGCACCTTCCCCTCTTCGCTTCCCGTTCGGTGGACTTTGATCTTTTCAGCAGCGTTTTTCTTCTCCCCATTCGGGGCCACGTTCCTGTGTGTCAGACCGGCTATAAAGGTTTCCCTGTGTGCAGAACAGAAGAGGAGGCAGTAGGTTCGTTTCTTTCCATGCTCCTCTGAGGGTGCCAGGCCGTTTGCTCCCAGCCGAAGTGGTCCTGCCCTGCAGGAGGTGGCAGCGTGGGGTGCGGTACGGTGCTCCGAGAACGGCCTGGGTGCTTTGGGGTTTCGTCCTCTGCTTCTCCGGGGTGGCACCGCTTTTGCTGCTGGGGAAGCGGTCGGTGCTGAGGAGGGAGCTGGCTTCTTGCCGCTCCTGTGCTGGAGAGCTGCAGTAGCCTCACTGAAGGTGACAGCCAGAGTGGGCTCCCCATGCAGAGATGGTTTCTTTCTTGCTCTTTATCTGAGCGAGGGGCTGATCAGCGTGAAGGGCTAGAAAGCCCGACCCACGGGGTCTCCATGGGCAGACCTCCAGCAGCAGCCGAGATCAGCTTCCACATGGCCGTGCCCACTGGCTTTGAAGAGCACCACCAGCAAAGCCTTTAATGTGCATGAGAAGAGACATATATCGAATTCCTGGCCCCACCTTGCCGCCTCTCTCCCCTGCAGCCGTGGTGTTTTTCATTCCCGGGGTGCACGCAAAGCCCCGCAGGCAGCGTGGTGAGGGCTGGGTGCGCGGTACCCACACGATCTGCTGGGCCCAGCGTTGGCTCTTCAGGCATGGCGGAGCTGAGCCCAGCACCGAGCTGGGGCCCTTCTGGGGAGGCGCACAGGGGGCTTGTTCGGCTGTGGGATTTGCTTTGCAGAAGAGGTTTATAGAACACGTTTCCTTACTGTCAGTGCTGTTGCATCAGGCTGGTGCGGCTCTGCCTGGCTGAACTCTGCCAAACAGCTTGGGGAGAATGGGTGAGATCTGTGTGGCTCAGGCTCCTGAGCTCTTTCTGGAAACCTCCTCCCTTCCCCGCAGCTCCCCCCAGGTCAGTTAATTTTGAGGCTGCAGCTCGTCTGTCCTGTCAGGAGTTCATATGTTTTTCTTCTCATGGTTTGATTTCTTGGAAGGATGTTCATGAGATTGAAATAAAAACCTGACATCAGCGTTGTGTTGGTGCTTGCTGGGGGTGGCCCCCCACTGCTCCCCTGCCCCAGCCACAGCCCCCTTCTCCCCGCCATGAGAAGGGAAGCCCCAAATCTCTGCCCAGGCGAGGATTCACGCTGGGAACCCGCTTTGTACCTTCCCCTGAGCAGCAGCGCTTTTCCGAGACGATGTGACTGTATTAAGAAAATTAAGTGGAGAACAGCCCAGCCTTGGCTCTGGCTGCACTCCTTGCGGTAATTGGCTCTCCGGGGTATTGAATGCCGTCGGTGCGCTGCATGCAGCCTTGCTGACATAAATAAAAAGGGGGAAGTGATCCCCCCGTCTATCTCTTTTCCCCAAAGGCTTTTTCCTTTTAAAACCCCTTTGCCTACAAACACAGCTAATAAAGCTGAGTTACGGCGTGTGCAACCCTGGGCTATGCGCAGGTGGGAGCAGGGAGAACCGGCCGTAGAAATTCAGCACTGGGGGCAGCTGGAGTATCCCCTCCATCTCCCCAGGGCTCGTGTGCGGACCCCTGTGTTTGCAAGAGCTGGTTTCGAGCCCAGACCCGGTGGGGATGTGTCATCCCCACTGCACGTCCCTGGGGCTCTTGGTGGACAGTCCCGTCTGCAGATCCATGGATGGGCAGTGGGCGATGCCCCTGACCAGAGCAGACAGCGGCTCTGCTCGCAGCATGGGTGGGACGGAGAGCAAGACCCAGGGCTCGGTGAGACCCCTGCTCCTGCTTGTCCCCTCTGTCCCCTCCGGCTCCTGGGGCAGCCTGAGCCCATCCACAGCTTTGCCCCAGGAGAAAGGAGCCCCCCCACCTCGCTGCGTGGGGCTGAGAGACGTGGGGTGCTTGGGGAGAGGAAACAGCTTTGGCCTTATCAGAGGGGCCCCTCTCTGCAGGAGGCGGCTGCTTTCTGTGCCTGAATTAATCATGTTCTGTAACCTTTCAGGAGGGAGAGACGCAGCCGGCTTTGATGGGGCTAATTAAAGCGAGCCAGCGCCGGGAGAGGCTGTGGCGGGTCCTGATAAACAATCTTTTGTCTGCAGCGCTCAACCCCAGCGGGTTCGCGGTGCTGTGCAGCTGGGGGAGCAGGTGGGAAAGGAGAGGGGGTTCAAAGAGGGCAAGTGCCCGGCATTGAGCCGTGCCTGCTGCAGGCCCGTGCCTGAGCCTCGGGGCTCCCGGGGCTGTGCCGTCTGCTCTCTGGAGAGGATGGGTGAAAGGAGGCGAGGATCCTCCTCTCCAGGTCAGAGGACGGCGGGGACAGGAGACCGTCCCTGCGGCTGGCTCAGCTCACACTGAAGGGCGGCTGCGGAGCTGCCCGGAGCGCGGCAGAGGTGGTTCCCAGGGACCAGCGATCCCGAGCGCGTTCCTCGCTCCATCCGCAGGGCTGGCGGCCAGGCACAAGCCCCTTTCCCCGAGCACGGTTGGGGGGCAGCCGTCCCTGCTGCAGGCTCGTACCGCACCGAGCATGGCGGCTGCAAGGGCCAGGTCTCCCGCCAGCGGGAGGG